CCACTCTTCTTGCAAACACAGCCTCCAATTAACCGTCACTAGCTCCAGCACTCGATCTCGTGGCGGCTGCCGTCTATCCGGCTGGCATCCCCTCTCCTCATCTGTGGGACTGCATAAGGGTATCCTGGGTCATGGTTGAGCAGGTACTTAGAACCCCGAGATTCTCTGTGGAATTCCTCATGAGAACCGGCAGGAGTTTGGTCCCTCCCATCACCTAAGATCCTGAAAAACAGTCACAGATCTCCATAGAGTCACCCAGGCGATAGGCCTCAGGCCTTAGAGATTTACATACTAATGAAGGCCAGAGGGCAGAGCAAATTAAACATTCCTTCCCCCAGATCCTCCCCTAATCCTCCCCCTTTCTCCCTCCCTATATAACTCGGGACGGCCCTGAGTTTTTGGGGGATACGCCTAGATCCATCTATTATCCGTCATGTCAATAAACCTTTTTGGAACCAAGGACTTCCTCGTGTTACTGGCGCCTGCCGCCGCCAAGGCCCTCAGGCCGCTGGAACCATAGGATCTCCCTCCCTGATGTGGTGACCCGCCACGGCGGCGGGCTTGCGCCGCTGTGGCGGCCTTTTTTAAATTTTCCCCACACTCATCTATCTCTCCATCTGAGTCTTCTGACTTGGAGGAAGTTAGCCCCTCCGACTCAGAGCTATCACGCCGTAAAAACCCCGGCTCCTTTACCAGATACAGAGGTTTCTTTTCTAGAGCTTTTTCGCCTTTTCTACTCTTAACCAGGGCGTCCTTTCCCTGACCTCTCACCCCCTTGGATAGGTCCTCGGGGGGGCCTGATTTCTTAAATATGTCTTTTTTCCCTTTTCCTTTCTGAATTTTTAAGCGCTTCCATTTCTTCTCTGTTTCTGACATGCTCACTTGTAATCCATCTACTACTCCCCGAGCCGCCACGAGAACCAGAAGGGAGAAAAATAACGCTACTAATACCATAGCGAGAGCCTCTAAGGTTCCTGCCAACTGGGGAGGGAGACGAAATAAATCAAGTCGAAACTTGTCTCTCAGAGAACATCACCTCGTCCTACGGTTCTGGATTCATTCCACGCGTGGATGGCCTTCTTAAACAGTGCCGGCGATGGTAAATTCTCCCGGGTTTCTCAGCACCAAATGTGACGCGCGCGCGTAGTGGTCTCGCTGGCAAGAACACACACACACACACACACACACACACACACACACACCAGAATCCTTCCGTAGAAACACGTTTATTCCCAAAAACCAAAATGGTGGAAGAAGACGGAGAAGACGGAGAAGACACACAGAAGACACAGAGAAGACACACACACACCCGACCCCCAGCCCTGGGAAAGCATAGTTTTATACCCTAGAGCGGTGTAATCACCTCTGATTGGCTGCTTACTCGTTGTGCGCCAAACGCCGTGGGATGGGCTTTAACTTTGGCGGGCTTTTACCATGGCACATGCGCAATTTACTTGTTTACTAGGAAGAATTATGGCTGACAGCGCCACCTAGCGATGGCGGACTTTGCCAGCACCTGCCGCGGCTCCCAACAACATACAAAATAGGATAAGTACAGCTTTACAAAATTAGGTTGAGTAATGGCAGGACAGACAGATGCAGATGTCTCCGTGCTGTGTTTTCTCATACTTTTGTGTAGTAAGGCCACTTTCAGAAATAGTTGTCAAAGTGAGGCTTTCTGGCAAGATTCTTAAAGACCTAAAGGATGATGAGTTGTGTGATTCGTAAAGATCCATGTGTATAGTGACTTCATCTGCAGGCAAGAACCATTGTATCCTCCATTTGTCATTACCGTATGCAGAGCATTGGTGTGGTAGATTCGATGTGTGTATATGTGTGTGTGTATACAGAAGAAAAAAAAGAGAGTAACTTCATTAAGTGGTTAGGAACACACAAGATAAGAAAAACCACAACAGAAAAAGTGGTTTTCAGTCTTTCTTCCCACACTAGAAAAGCCTTTGCATCTAGACACAACAAAGACAGCCTGAAGATTCAGGGAATCAAACATGCTGCATTAAGCTATGTATGTATGCTGGAAACTCCAGAACCAGGGAGGCTGTGCTAGGGGAGAAGTGTGATGGCAGCCTGGGCTATGTCAGTTAATCTGGCCACAGCAGGCTCAAAAACAGGAGGAGATTTGGATACAGACTTTAAAATAGCATCTGAACATGGCTCAGAGAGTAAAGTGCTTGTTGCCAAACCTAATAACCTGGATTGATTCCAAGGACTCATATGTTGAGAGAATCGACTTCTGCAAGTCACCTGACCTCCACACATCTCACATCTTCACACATGGTGTGTTTGCTGCCCCCTCCAAATAGAAAACTGTAATAAAAAGGGCGAGGGAAGCTGTACATAAAAGGATATTCTGAACTGGTGAGATGGCAGGGCTTTCCAACAAGGGGCTTCTAAGGTGGACAAACGATGGTAAAATTCCACCAGGTACCTTCCTTAGCAACTGTTCTCTTATCAGTTCAAGGACCATTCTTAGAGGCTGGGTATGGTGTGTGCTTCCCATCCCAGTGCTTGGAAGGCAGAGGCACACAGATCTCTGTGAGTTAGAGGATAGCCTGGTCTAGCAAGTTCCAGAAAGAGCTGGAACGGTAAGACCCTGTCTCAAAAAACTATTCTTCCACACAAAACTGATTTTAATCAGATTATTGCTTTAAGATGGATCGCTAGATGAGAGAACATCAACAGTGGGGCCAGAGGGATGACAGAGGCAGAAGAAGGGGAGTGGGGTTTTGGACAGGAAGGACAATGGAGAGAAAACGTAGGTAGCTGAGACCCCCGGTTCAGATAGCGGGTTGGTCCATTGGGATCCACTATGACGGATAATTTAACTTAGAACGGCTTCCTATTAGGATGCTAGTTGCATTCACCCAGCGATTGTGTTGCCTTTTGATTCTAAACTAAGATTGCGTGGTGTTTTCCTTCACACAGCGACTCAACTGGAACCCAGTTGAAAGGATGAAGGGTAGATCTGGATATTCACCACCTAGATGAGCAGATGGAGTCAATGTTTTATCCACTCCTTAGATTCTATGAACCTACTGGAGGCAGAATACCAACTTCAAATCCACTGAAGAACCAAAGTAACCTTTGGAATGACAGCAGTATACACTCTAGGTCCTGCAGTGATCCCTGGAACCTCAGAAATCAGGACCCCAACACTTTTTTTTTCTTTTACAAAGAATTGAAGGACTTAAATGCCAAGGAACTAAAATCGCCAATCAATAAGTGGGAAAGTGAATCGAATGAATGGTTTTCTAAAAAAGAAACACAAGTGGCCAATAATTATATTTAAAAATGTTAACTATCCCTAGCCACCAGGGAAATACAAATTAAGATGACTTTGGGATACCACCTCCCCCCAGTCAGAATGACTATCATTAGGCATTCTGATAACAAATGTTTGGGAGGATGGGAGAGTGAACCTTTATTCACCATTGATGGGGGTGCAAGTCAATTCAACCATTGAGGAAGTAAGTTTGGAGATTTATCAAAAAATTAAAAGTAGAACTACCATATAACCCAGCTGTTTCACTACCAGGTATATGCCCTAAAAACTCCATATCCTACCATAGAGATATTTGTGTCTCCCTGTTTATTACTGCTTTATGCTCTATAGCAAAGAATTGGAATCAACCTAGTTGTCAACCAACAGATGAATGGTTAATGGAAATTATACATATATATGTGTGTGTGTGTTTATGGATGAATGGATTTAAAATGTATAATATTAACCTAGGTCATACAACTTCAGAAAAGAAAGACCCCCACCCCCAAGTTTTTCATATGAGAACCTAGCCAGTAATACCTGGATATATGTGAGCAAATGCACATGAGGGCAGAGTATAAAAGAATGGGCTAATAGTAGAAGATGAAGGAGGACTGAGTGCAGGTAATAGGCATGACTTAGGAAAGACAATTTAAAGTTAATTGTTTTTCTAGTTCTAATTCTGTCATGGATCTTTCATTTTCGGCTGGTAGAAAGTACATAAAATGTATTTGATAGTAAATGTGTAACTCCCCACCCCCCCAAAAAAAGAAAAAAACCCAGTGGGGCCGGTGAGGTCCTCATGGGTAAAAGTGCTTGCCATGCATGCTGGGCAAGCCAAGTTTGATCCTGTACAGCCATGGAACCAATGCCCAAAAGTACGTACACATGCACGAATGCACTCACTCACACACACTGATAAAATTTTAAAAATGAGCATGGGCCTAGCAGTGGTGGTGCACACTTTAATCACTTGTGAGGCAGAGGCAGAGGCAGAGGCAGAGGCAGAGGCAGAGGCAGAGGC